GTAACTTTTATTAGGTATTTAAATGCGTGTGAGCATCAGGCCAATGGCAACATGCCGCATCCCATAAATTCGTCGGATGGTGCATCTTTTTATGCCACTTCACATATAGCATTTGGCCACATGTTGCAGTCGCCCCAGCCAGCGTGTCGCACATACTTGAGATTGCATTAGTCGGTCCACACCCCCCGAAAAATAAATGTGGGGGAAAGTCGCAGGAGGGGCACAGCACTTCAGGGGAGCGCAGAGTGATCAATGCCGCCTCATATGCCCGTTCACAACCCATTGCATTAATAATCCATAACGCTGGGATCTGGGGACTAGAGATGAGAGCGTGAATATGTCTGAAATTGCATAACAGGGTGTTTAAAAAATATAGTACTTGGAACTTCATTTGACTAATTTTAAAAGAACTGGTTTCTCAGAGAATTAAATATATGTTATTGTAAATGCAATATTTCATAAATTTTGTTTAATTTTGTTTTTAATAATATCAATATTATTTCACCCTTAATATATAACTTGAATATAGTTTATCTGTTGTAGAACCATTTCATCTCTAGTTGCCACCCACGGAAGAAAACATCCGAACTATCCGCCTAATGTCGATAAATCAAGACCGCGAGTGGATGGAAGCAAACGAGATGAGACACCTCCACTTCACTTTGGAAAATGGAGGGTCCCCGCTCGAGAACCGGGTGAAATATTGTCGCTGCTAATGCTGTTAATGAAACAACGTAATTATGTATTAGGAGGGACGCACGGATATATAGAGCACCCTACTTAGGGGAAACTCCGGGTCGCGGAGCACATTAATTATCCGCCCAAGAGAAAGTGAAAGTGCGGTCCGAAAGAAAATGATACCAGCCAAAAACAAACATCCGAAAAACAAACCCAAATACAAATGTTCGGGGTAAGTGATGTCAATGTGACATTTTGTATTAAAAGGATTTTGTGTGTTTTACATAATAACCACAAAAAGTGGTTCAAAGAAGCCGACTTCGCTGCTTTTCAAAGGGTGTGGAGAAAAATAAATTAGGTATTTATTCCCATTAGGTGAAAGCTATAATATCAGATAAGTAAAAACATGGAAACCAAATAAGCATTATGTTATGCTAAATTAATTTTCGAATAAACTAGGGTCCATGTAACCAATATCCACTGTAAAATCCCCCAGATGAAGCTGTTCATCGAATTATTCGCAAATTAAGCAGAACAGTTAGTTGAAAACAGCAGGCGGTCGCCACGCCCACCAAAAAGGCGGAGGTGTTATGCTTGAACTCATCTGAACTCAAGCGAAAAGTCGACGAGTGGAGCACTCGGCCTGTTTTGTTGTTTTTGCCCCGCGGCGTTTGTCATGCGCTTAGATAACATTGTCATTAATCGTTCGCAATTAATTATCGGCTCTGCTCGGGTCTTTATTTTAAAGTAGTTATTATTATAACGAACTGTCAACACCTACTTATAAAGCCAAGTGGAGCTGCCCCTCCCTTCTTACGTTTCTGCCCCGTTTCCTGTTAGTGTTGGCAATTAAGCTTTTTTCCGGCATGGAGTTAATTGCTCAAAAGCTTTTTTACTTGTAGTTGATAAAATTCTATTCGAAAAGAATGCAATTTATAAATACCTTAACTTTGTTAAAATAATATAAAATAATTTTAATATATAATAAGTGTTACTGTTCCAGTTGTTGTACCACGAAATTTTCCTAATTTTCTTTTACAAATTTGGTTTACATTTTTGAATGTTTTTGGCTTGGCTCTCCCAAACTGGCATCACAGCTACCCCATCCCCAATTTGGGTGGTCGGACAATCTGACTGACGGTGGCCCGCCTCGAAAAGTCGAAAACCCGTTTGTCTCGCTCTCCGTTCCCGGCATGTGTAAATGTATGTTAATTTGCCGATCGTTAAATACGAAAATTTGTTGGTTTTATTGTCAGCTGGGTTTTGGCTTTTTGTCTTTTGCATCTTTAATTGGTTAACCATATGGTTTCGATCTGATTTGTTTGCGTTAACCTGTAACTTTGCTTTGGCTTCTTGTGTGGGGTTGTTAAATTAGCGTTTATCGGGCGAACATTAAGGCTTAATTGCGGCTTATCGCTGCCTACAGCAAGTTGGGGGATTGGGACTAGGAAATTACTACAAAATACTTGATTGAGCTTGTGGGTAGTGAATGGAAATACTTTACTAAAATGTAGTACTTATTCAACACTCAGCTTTTGTTTTCTCCTTCCCCATTTTGGTAAAACATTTTCACAATTGGAATTTAATGGAGTCAATTTGGTGTTGGTGATGCATAAACTGGTCAAAAGCAAGGAATTGGTGTGAGTTTTGTTGAATGCAAAGAGATCCAGCAGTCACAATGAAAAGGAAACGCTGGAGATGCTGCTGCACTGAAAGAAAAAGTAATAAATAATATAAAATTGTTACTTGTTGTAAAAAGAGGTTTTAATAATTAATCAAATATCATAACTGACCCAAAACAAGAACTTGTACTTTGGTTTTAAAACTCTGCTTAAATGAAAATCTTGAAATTAAATGTATTTTTTTTGGGAGTGTTCCTGCCAAAGGTGCTCCTGTTGCTCCTGTTGCTGATGTTGCTCCTGTAAATGTTGCTGCTGCAGGCTGCTGCCGCTAACAATGCAGATCAAGAGATGAGCGCGTCCATTTCGGTCTGCGGATCGGCCATTGTTCCATTTGGCATGTTGTTTTAGGAGTTCACTAAAAAGACAAATGTGGTGTGCGGGCTTCGGCGGGGGAGTGGGTTGATTCGAGTTTCGGTTAGTAAGCCAGCCAGCGCGTGTTAGTTCCACTCGTTAAGGATTTACGAGCAATTTTTATCACTTTGAGGATCGCTGACAAATCCGGCAACAACAGCAGCGGGCCAGCAGCAACAATGCGATGCAACATGCGCATAATAATGGCAAGTTGTCCGGCACACACAGATATACCTACTATATAGTACACATAGTGGAGTACGTCCTACGTTTGGCCAAATGCTATGAGCCATGAGACAGGAAGCGCGCTCGGCTGTCTCATCGTTGTCGCTGATGTGGCCAAAAGTGGCCAATAAAACCCCAGCGACGATGTCACCAAACAGCAGCATCAGCAACAGCAGCAACAATTGCAGCAACTGTTGCTTTTGCAGTTGCAGTTACAGCAGCCAGAAGCTGCGGCAGCGATGACGACGAATTATAGCAAAGTAATCGCAGTGGACTCTGCTGTTGCAACTGCAGCCATTGTCCAGTTTTATCATACCCTCCCAAAGGATATTTGAGCAAGCCTTAAATAGTTAAAAAACAAATATTCATTTTAGAATTGTATTTTATTACAATAACATATCTTTACAATATCATGTAACAATACATCGTTTTTCTTTTAACAAAATAATTTTGTTGGTCAAATATTTCAATTTAAATTGTCAAGGGTGTTTTATTCTTCGGTTACACCTTTTTTTCAGATCTTTCTTTTCGTTTTATATGTTTTCCTTTGGCCAGTTTCGTTGGCGGCTTTTGGCGTTGATTTCCCTTCCAATTTATGTGACATATTGATTTTAAATTGATGATAGTCTATTTTGCGTTGGCCAGCCACTGGAGAAGCGAACAAAGCCGAACGAAACCAATTTATTTTAGCCATTTTAAATTGGCATTTTTGCTGCGTTCCCGCTGCATTTGGCCAATGCGTTCGAGCCGGGCTTGTATGACTTCATCAGCGGTTTATTGTCGGGGCAGACGAGCTGGCTGGATGTCTGGGAAAGGCCGCTGTGCAGAATTCCCTGTGCCATTCATAGGCGCGCATTTAAATGCAAATTTAATTCAATTAATGATGCATCAAATGCAGCCAATGCCTAATTGCCATGCGATGATCGTCGTCAATGGCTGTTCCCTGTCTGCGTCTCCTGTTTTTATTTTATTTTATTTACTTTTTCTATTGCTCATCCTGAAGGATTCTCGGGCTGTGGAAACAGCAGCTGCTGCTTGACAATATTGATGATTTAGTAGTGGCTGCCGTTTTGTTGTCGTGCCTGTGGCACCATAGGCGTAATTAGACAAGCATTGTGCAAAAGCGTTAATTAAAAACCGCAAAAAGACACAGCAGTCGCATTGGCAGTTGCCATTTTTCCACCGAGTATCGACTGCCAGCTGCGCCAGCGCCATGCAGCCAATCTCACACTTGGAAATATATTTCTTCAAGTCATTAAACTTTAGAAGCTCACTCTTAATTTGGAATGAATTAAGTTTATGGGCTCGGGAATATAAACATAAAGCTACACTAACACAAAGATTTCAGTGTTCTTTAAAAAAAGTTTGTAATGTTTTTTCTATCAAGAATGTTCTCGTACTGAGCATTCATTTGATTAATCATTTTTTAACGAAATCTATAGAGCCTTAACCTACTATACAAATTGCTATATGGATATTAATAAAAATGTATTTTTTTAAAGACAATTTTCATCTAAAATCAATACTTATTTTTTAATTTTAGAGCTGTATTTCCACTCTAATGTTTTTGGGAGTGCATTACTTCGTAATGAGCTCGAGCATCGATTGCGTAAGCTCTCCGCGGATGCAACTGCTCCATGGTCCCTGTCCCAAGTCCCAGGTTGCATGTCCCCAGGTCCTCAAGACCCATTAAATGGCCAAGTACAGCAGCGGGGGCTGGCGCTGCTGCAATCAGCTAATAATTTCCTTTTAAACGATGCTGCATGAATGGAGACTCCATCTTCATGCGTATTTATGAGCCCAGCGATTCCTGTTTGCTGTCCGCCTTTGAGCGCCCAGGTTTTTGGATTGATTTTAACGCCAAGTGGTGGCGTTAAGGGGTTCCTAATGGAATTGGGAACATAATATTGGCGGAATATATATATAATAGAGTTGGGGGAGCTGAGGTGTAAACGTTCATCGTAAATTTTAAATCGTCTTTTTATTTATTTTGCTATAAATTTAAAATGTTTTTATTATTTACTTTTTAACATATTGATCAGTATTTCTATGATAAAGCTTTCATTCTTTAACTGACGCTAGCAGTATCGCAATCCCGAAAAGTTTTCAAATTTTCATTCATTGCAACTACAAAAATAAATAAGATTATTTTACATTTTTCAGGATGATGAGTTCTCTTAATTTGACTAAGAATGCTGGAAAGCTGTTGTTTACCCGCTGCTCGGCAATCCAAAGCCAGTGGATTCGGGAGCAGAAAACTATGCCGGTGTACGATTACTCCTGCCCGAATCCTCCCAAGTGGGGTTATTCTCCTTTTGGAAGGGATCAGAAGACATGGGGCGAGTGGACCTGTGCTAGGTTGGATGACCTCCTGAACTGGGGCAGAAAGGGATCCCTTTGGCCCGTGACCTTTGGCTTGGCTTGCTGTGCCGTGGAAATGATGCATATCGCAGCTCCTCGATATGATATGGATCGCTTTGGAGTGGTTTTTCGGGCTTCTCCTCGCCAGGGAGATGTTTTAATTGTAGCTGGAACTCTAACCAACAAAATGGCTCCGGCTTTCAGGAAGATCTATGACCAGATGCCGGAACCCAGGTGGGTCATATCCATGGGAAGCTGCGCCAATGGAGGTGGCTACTACCACTACTCGTATTCGGTGGTTCGCGGCTGCGATCGAATTGTTCCAGTGGATATTTATGTGCCCGGATGTCCACCAACCGCCGAGGCTTTGATGTACGGCATTCTGCAGTTGCAGAAGAAAGTCAAGCGCATGAGGACATTGCAGATGTGGTATCGAAAGTAAAGAAATATCCTATGAGTTGTTAACTTAATAAAAGTGGAGCCATTATTTACCACTAAACCACGGAAGTATCTTTAGGTGGTTCAAAGATAAAACTCATAGTTTTTAAAGTAGGAATATAAGTATAAGGGTTCCAATTGAGCTCGTCCTAATCCGATCTGCTTAACCCAAAACAGAGTCAAAGAGTTAAGCGCATCAGTTCCAGCATCTCCAGAAAATCCTTAATTCCAAAAGTCGCTTAGTCAGCGAAGAAGGGCTCGTGCTCACCTGCACTTGAAAAGCAACGAGGATCAATTTCACATCGCAAAGAGGATCTCCAGAGAGAGTCCTGCAGACAATGTCCAGAGACAATAAACACTTCTGGCGGCTTACTCTCAAGTGTCGATGAAATATGAAGGGTTCTTGAAACATATGAAAGGATTTTGTTGTTCCTCTTTTCCCGAACAATAACCGAAAATCCTTTTTGCGAATCTGCCGACACCGAGCACTTGAACTTGGTGGGAAGATCATTAAATCCTCGCTCGAGTGCGGTGAGTGCATTAAATTGTAGGACAACTATCGCATTAGTGTAATCCATGTGCGACACACCCACAAAACTGGCAGAACGGGCCTGAATGGAAACTCTCGAGGCTGAAAGACATGAATGAAGGACCTCATTCATTGAGCCCCTGAAAAGGACCTGCACTGAAAGGTCGAGACAAAAGCGCAGCGGGCAGCCCGCTGATCCTCGGGGATCCTGGGAATCCGTTCGTGACTTCTTCAATTCCAGCGAATAAGAATGGCCGTGGAAAAATTAACTTGTCTCAATCGCACAGCAATAAAAATTATTAACAAAGCCACTGGCAACATGTTCGCCTCCATTGTGCAGGCATTAAATAAATTTAACAGCTCAATGACTTGTCGAAAGGTGTAGCAGGGAGAATCCGGAGAATCGGAATCAGTGGAGCGTTCGCGGCCATGCAACCATATCTTAATTAGCGGACCCCGGCCTACATTAACCTTAATTTTTGCTCTTTTTTATTTTTTATTTTACCGATTTCTGCTTAATTGCGGCGCCGAGGCGCCAACGAAGAAGCTTTACAGCTGCACAAGGAAAATATTTTATTTAGTTGATTTATGTAATGTAAAAATCTTTTTGTAAATTGATAAAAGTGCCGCTGTGTTTGAATATTGTTTCTTTTTTAGTAAACAACAAAATTCAACATTTTATCAATTTTTTTAATGAAGTTCCATCTTATGATAATTTTTTATGAAGTAAATCAAGGTATTAAATGTTACCTATAAGTTACCTACTCAATTAAGGAATTCAGCTTCAAATAAGTTATATTTGCAGTGCAATTTTAGTGGCCTTTCTCTGCAATTTCCATTGGAGTGTCCAGCGGCGCATGCTCAGGATTTGCACTTGAGTGAAAATCTGGGAATTGAGAGTGGGGATTTCGACCACCGAGGTGGGTCTTACCTGCAGATCCACGGCTCGTCAGCGATGGAAACCCCCTTTTCTGACCAGAGGTTCGGGCAATGTTCCACGGGTCATAAATTACGTCAGACAATTTCGGACAGAAATGCCCAACGAATTGTGTGTTTAACACCTAATCGCCCGTAATGCTCTACAACCGATTGTGAGGTCCTCCAAAAAAGTGACTCGCCGCCAAAATGGGTCCAACAATAAACCCTTAATGCAGCATCTAGGTTCATTCATTCATTCGGATAGGCTCATTCATGGACCCATAATGAAATTGTTTGATGTCTTCTTAAGTTCTTTCTTATTTTATTTCAGCATTGTGCCCGGGCGGAGATTTATGTTCATGAATGTAAATGCCTTCTTCAAATCTTTTTTATTGGCATTATGCGGAATTGATTTGTTGCCTCGTTGGATTCTTTCATAAAATTATTATCACACTTTGGGAATTCAGTCGATCTGATCTGCTTTCTTTAGGGAGAATTATTAAGCTGATTTTAATTGCGTTCCGTGCGTTTGGCTGCTTTGACCGGGAATCGTAAATCTAATTTAGTGTTCTCTGGAATACAAAACGAAATTTAGACGTTTTCTAATTATGCAACGAACGATCTCTTCTGAGTGGGGCGATGTTTTGTGTGTTGTTTTCGATCGGATTTGATTGAAATTTATCGCTAATGCATGGACTTCGGTCCACGATCTCAGATCCGTAATCTTCTCTAGGGCGTTGTCCGTGAAGTTGTGGGTCTGCTCTGGCTTACATAAATATATATTGGCCCTGACTCTGAGTTGGCCGCCAATTTTGGTCCAAAGTTATGGGAAGTCATCAGCGCGTTAAGCCGTTATGGATACTTTACAAAGCCATAACGATAGGATCTTGATATTAGTTTTTTTCCGTGTTTGCGTTGATCTCGCAGCGATCATTTGTTAAATAAAAGTGAAAATTTGTTATTTGTTGCACTCGGTTTGTTTTTTTTTCCAGCGATATTGATCTTGATTTATATTATTAGTGTGCTTTATGTAAAATCAGCTTATTGAATGCAAATCTAATGTGACACTGTAAAAATTCCTTTGGGGTATAAGGTTTTCGATGAATTGATTGATTAAATTATAATAAAATTAATATACTGGTAACAATCAAGCTTTTAATTAACTTTGCAATAGTCAGCTGAAGAAAATTAAATTACTTAAGCTGACTAATGTCTTATGATTCGAAACCCCTTGTTAAGCTCGCTTTTAACGGTTTCTCTTCTTCGTAATGGTCTTCCGGGCCAACATCATCAGTGTGGTGGCCCAAATTAGTCGCCAAGCTGCCAAAACGTTTAGTACGCAGCTCTCACCAGAGAGTTTCTTTCCCCGCAAATTGTCCATTTGTCATGCGGACAATAACGTTGACATACATTCGGCCAGATCCTTTGTTTTTGCAAGTTCGTTTTTAGGGGGACTGAGCCGCTGCTCGGCTGCATTGCGCAATAAAACAGGAGTCGCCGAGGAATTGAGGAGGAGAATCCATCATTAATAAGCCCTAAAGTGGCTGCCCGATGGCCGCTCCAGGCGGGCAATAAAAACAATGGCCAAAATGGGCAATGAGCGGCCAACGCACAGCAGCAACATGTGCACTTGTTGATCTTGTTGTACTGGATAAGGCACTGAGAAAAATAAGTAGCAGTCAGTATTCTAAGTGGATACAAAATATAATTGAATTCTTACTGCTTCCGTTCATACGTGATTTGTTGAACTTAAAATTGAAATATTTTTTTCCTTGTATTAAAACACATATATTTTTTCTCTGTGCACCCCGTTTGCTGTTGCAGCTTGCAAACAAGCGAGCAGCAAAAAACTGCATCAGGAGGCAAACCGGAGGAGGCAAAAAAGCCAAACCGCTTTAGGCCATTTAAGGCAACGCAATTAATTATTTTTTAACTGTTTTGTCATTTCGGAATGCAGCCAGCAGCCATCGTTGGCCATCGATTGGTCCTCCTCCTTCTGGCCTTCTGGTCTTCTGGCTTTCAGCCTTTTTTCCGTTTTCCTTTCGGCCTTCCTGCTGTGGCAAAGGACTTTGACATGACCGCATCGCTGCAGCTTTCGCTCGTTTGATCGCTTGATCGGTTGATCGATTGATTGCTGCAACTAGCAACCTGCAACCAGCAACCAGCAAGCGGCAACCAGCAACGTGCAACCTGCAATCGGGCAAAAAAATGCTCCGAGATTGTAAAACGCGTCTGTAACAAGCCGTTGCGTTAATTTGCCGCTGCCGATTGGCTACCGAAATAAAAAATGAAATGAAATAAAATAAAATAAGTGCCACCGCAGGCAACTCAGATGGCAACGAGAATAGAAAGTCTTCGTTTTTCTTCATTTTTTGATCGAGGAGACGAGGCGAATAAAAAAATATGCAAAATGCTGAGTATATATAACAAATTAAACAACCAGTTGGCAGGGGACCGAGTGCTCGTGGCCGGGGCAATAAAGACAATAAAAATTCATACATTTTTCGAGCAACCTCGAACAAGTTGTTGGCCGCCTGGCCGGGCTTATTTGCTTTGTCTGTTTTGATTATAAAAAGCATTCAGCTTTAATTTGTCAATTTCTTAATTGGCGTTTCGTACGTTCCACATGGCAATAGCCGTCTCTTTCTGCGCCTTCGTCTGCCGTCTCCCTCTAACCAGCCCCACCACACTAACACAGATACTCACCAACACAGCGAAATGCCTGCTCAGTGATAGAAGAATTTTAACAAGCTTCGGTGTTTTGGAATTTCGTACGTGAAGAATCCAAAAATGTTTTACGCAATCAAAGAATCTGATAAAATGTCTACAAGCGAGGATGCCAGAAAAAGAGGCTATGGTCCCCCACACTCCCCATTCCCCATAAGCCCCCCATATACTCCCCAAGATCCTCCGATTTCGCCAGACTTCGGCGCATATCGATCACTTGTCCGTCGGTAAATATGACAAATTTCGAGGAACCACCAGCACTTTGGAAAAAAGCCACGAGGCGAAATCAGAAGCGAATGCACATCAATATCAGATGTCGTGTATCTCCGGCTGCATCTGTATCTGTATCTCGGTTTTGTTGTGGCACAAACCAATTAAGCCGAGATTAATTGGCCATGTCAAGTGGCGTAATCGAGCGCGAACACAGGTTTGACATTTCATAATTATTTCAACTGAGTCTGGGCTGCTCAGACTCTATGGAGTGTACCAATCTGGTCCCGTCTCTCATGATCGATCAATCTGTATCTGCGCGCTGCCTTTTTGTATCTCAGCGAGCGAATGAGTGAGGGAGAGACGGCATGGGATGGGATAGATACTTTCGTACCTACGCGTTTTGTTTTGTATAATTGTTTGTTATGATATGTTGATTTCAGGCGATAACCGCATGGGGCCACTTTGGATTATTGATATTTTCATGTAATTATGTTGTCAGGTGATTCGGTTGGGTTTCTGGCATAGGAATGAAGATTTTATTCCGATTGTAGTTGGCTTGGGGGGCACAACATGTTGATGGATATGCCTGCTAATTATATTGTATCCTTCCATTAACATTATATATTTTGAGTCTCTATAATTCCACTTTCTAATTGACTCTGAGACATCAACCT